ATTGACGATAATGATAACAGTACTGATAATATTAAGCACAATATTAGTAATTGTAATGATAATGAATCTCTAAAGGTCTTGGTATATTCATTCGCAGCTGTACAGTATACAAAACGTTACAGTACGCAATTGTACTGTAAACAGAATATTACAGTAATATTACAGAATTGTACTATCTAGTAATCATACACCCTGACAGTACGTACTACACATATTGCTTGAATATGAGCCATCACAGACAGGACTGGCACCGCGCAATGTAAAATTGATATGTTAATGAGGCTGCAACTTGTACATTACATGCTTCTGTTAGGGTTCATTTGGACGACTCAAGGATTCACTTGAAGTCCTCAAAACGGATTGATCGCGCAGATGAAATATTCATTTCATGCAAATGCCTCACTCTTATCAATCGATAGAATGTTATATTCTCGAGAATATAGTTGTTGCATCGAAATCATTTTATATGCGGTATAAAATAACTTAGATTTTATGTATAACAAAAAATATGTTAAGAAGGATAGTCAATTAAGAGAACGAATGAAATTCGATCCACAAATGTAAATTATTTGCTTAACATCATTCATTCACACAGTGACGAATGTGCATTCATCAAGGAATTTGTTTTTGCTGTTTTTTGCAAGTTATCAATTATTGATAATTTGTGTGTGTATAAGAGTGCCAATTTTTATTTTTTTATTTTTTCTTCAATTGATTTGATAATAAAAACGTTTCTCCTCTTCAGGTGCTACATGGACTACTGGCTATAGATTATTCTTTTTGATTTTCACTGGATCTGCGGCAATTCTGACGATTGGTACGCTGCAATGAAATTTTATTTCATCCAATTATAAAATTCTGTTTGAATTCAGTGAGATCCATTGTAGATTATATTGCATTAATTACCTGGATTGGCTAGCAGGCTGTCATCAAACGTTTGTAAAGTTGCTGGCCACATTGCTCGCGTTTCCGTTCGCATTAAAATATTGCATTGATAGTATACGTTTATCTGTAAAGTCCGATGTGAGAATAATAATGAAATTTTGACTATTAAATGATATTGTGATATATCGTTTACTAGAGACGATCACATTTACCGTATACTGTATAGAGACTGTTACAGATTTACCGTATTCTACATGTTGTCTAACAGATTTACCGTATTCTATATGTGATCTAACAGATTTACCGTATTCTATATGTGATCCAGCAGATTTACCGTATATTACTATAGATTTACCGTATTCTATATGTGATCTAACAGATTTACCGTATTCTATATGTGATCTAACAGATTTACCGTATTCTATATGTGATCCAACAGATTTACCGTATATTACTATAGATTTACCGCATATTATGTGCAGTGTAACAAATTCTCATAACTGCCGAACATTGACTTAAAAATAGTTTCGTTGCAGTGCTGAACGCCATAACGGTGGTTGTTTACCGTGCGCATCACTTCTACTCGTCGCATCGTAAAGAGAATTCTGCGTTGGTGATCACACAAACGGCAATAATGATCTCGTACACAATCTTCTGGTGTATACCGACGATACTGTACTTGATCTGCTATGTACTCGGCTTTGAAGCATCCATCTTCGGCAGCATCACGATGATTCTATCGACTGGTAGTGGCTTCTTCGCGTGTATCACTCCGTTCCTCTTTCTTTGGAAACACAACGAATTCCGAACGTTTTTCGTTCGTTTCTATCATTTACAAGGACTCTTCAAGCAGACGTCAGTGGTCAATCTAGGAACAGTGTCGTCGAGTGAGAGGAGACCAGCGAGGGTGTTGAATACTCACATTATGAACACGAAAGTTTCGGCCGTTACGGCCATCGAATTTGCCAAATGATTGAAATCGACGAACGGTCGGACGTGAAACGTGAGAATGAAGGGAACATCGCTTGCACACGCATTTNATCAATCCGTACATCCATCGCCCAGCATTTTAAGCTCCTTCGGCAACACCTCTCCAATCTTAATTGTGTTATAGTCTGTATGATGAATCCTGCCTACGGACTCTTACAATCCGATTCAAAACTCCTGTAATATAGCAGTATTCGACAGGATTGACTTCTGAACAGCATCTAAGTTATTTGGCATTTTTGACTCTGGGCATTCTTTCAAGCATACATGGAACATCATGAAGTGATTAAGAACTAAAAAGATGTTTTTCTTCTAAAAGAGGAAAAAATTGAGTCGAATCTTCCAGTTTTTCAATTGCACTCTTCACACTGCTCCCAGTTTGTCGGAGATCCGTTGTCGTGAGATCGGCGGGACTGTAGCACCAGTCCCTCATCCAGGTCTACTCTACTTTAAGCCTTATAATGCTTTCAAAATGTGATTGTGAATCATCAGTATCCGATTGAATAAAACTGTAATTGGCCAGTTGATCGTAATCTTATCATATCATTGCTCTATNATCACTTATCAATTGGGTAATAAATCAATTTTTTGATCGTTCATTCACTTTTTTTGTTGTGTTATAATTTCCAAAGTTTCAACTTCAAGGAGAATTATTTAGCTGAAGACCAATTAATTTGAATATATTTGATGTAAAATGTACGTGTATGGTAATGAATCAGCGATTTGATTCATTTGAATGCGTTTTAGAGCTGGTGAACTCCTGAATTAGACACCAATGAAATGAACACGGAAATTCATTGAATTGGAATTTTAGCGTGCCATCAATTCATCCATTGAGTTTCCATTCATCGAAAATGCATGTTTGATCGAAAATGCTTCCGTGCTAACCTTACGTGCGAATTTCATATCCGTTAGACCGAAGGTGAACGCAGCAATAGTTGTTTAAATCAGAAATTACGTATGGTATATCCGATTGGATGATTTCAGTGAGCAGACTGAGTTAAATTCCTGAGGAAAGTGTGAAAAAATTGAGAATGTTAAATGTAATTTTGATGGCTTTTGAATGCAGCGATTTGCGAAAAAATATTCATGGAAGTTTTATTGAGCTCTATGTTCTGACGAATAATTTGTTGTTTTATACGACGACAACATCAGACATTTCGATTTAATTTTTTGGTAAAGCCACCCAGAAAGACAAAAAATTTAAGCGTACGGTGAGATTCACCCGACGGCATTTTTGGAGGATACGAGAAGACTTATGCTAAACAAACAACCTCAGGCAAATGAGACGTGAGCTTAGGAATTCGTCTTGAGACTCTTTAGAAAATCTGCTTTACAGTAACAACAGTAACATATTCTACAGTACTGGTTACTGTAAATTACATTAATGATCTCATTACTTTCGTACCGATGGAATGTGTTCTGTCTAGCAAAATGTTAACAAAAAGTGTTAACAAAAAAACAAGAGTCGAGATAAAATATACAAATATAATCAAATCAAAATCAAAGTTAGATTAAGGTGAAAGCAATTTAGGGGTTGTTCTCATAAGTACTGTCATTGTTAAACTAATAATTATTAGTAGAATTATTTGTTTTTATTTATGATTATTTACCAAGTTGAGTAATGAGGTTCAGCGCTGCTTTTAACAATAATTTTCATAATATTGTTTGTTGAGCTTTGGCGATAACAAATAAGACTGATAATAA